TGTGTGTGTGAGTGAGAGAGAGAGAGAGAGAGAGTGTGTGTGTGTTTGACTCCCTGCTACAAAATCAAAACATTATGAAGATCTTTTAAGCCGTTTTTGTGAGATTATGTAATTGTAGGTTAGTGCATCGTTTTGTTCTTGTAAGTGCTGCTGTTTCCTTTGCAGTTTGTCAGATGTAGTGAAATATTAATGACAGTAGCACACTCTTTACACGAGTCCTGAAGCATTATCAAGCTCCTCGTGCATTAGAATCGTGACTGGCGTCTGTTGGGCGGGATCACTGACGCCCGGTATAATGCAATCGTCTGTAATATCATTTCAGATGACTGACATTTAAACTTTTCTGGACATTTCTGTATTAAAAGCTGTTGGATTTGTTCTTTAACTTCAGCTACGGTGATTCATAGAGGAACCTCTGTAAAAGTTCACTCATAATCAGCAGTGGTTAGAATTAAAAAGCATTATGTGAATTAAATGCTTGAGGCCAGAAACGAAATAAACTACTCATACACACTTTGTAATTCCTCATTCAGCGAAACTAGAAATACAGCATCCGGTGACAGGTTATTATGTGAGAGAGATTCTCAGTGAAATCTGACTGTGCCTTCATTGCTTTGGTTTGATTTATTATTTCAATGTTTAATTTTTTTATTATATTTGAATGTTTTATTTACTATATTTTATTTTTTTAATGTTTTAAATACTTTTATTCTTCTTATTTGTTTTAAATATTTTTTATTTCTGTAAGCCACATTTTGTCTGCATGTTGGTTCATGCCAAATATAAAAAAGTAACACCAAGGCTGCATTTATTTGATCAAAAATACAGTAAAAACAGTGAAATATTATTCTAATTTAAAACAGCTGTTTTCTATGTGAATCTCTGTTAAACTGTAATGTATTTCTGTGATGCGCAGCTGTATTTTCAGCATCATTCCTCCAGTCTTCAGTGTCACATGATCTTCAGAAATCAGTATAATATGCTGATCTGCTGCTCGAGAAACATTTCTGATTATTATCAGATTATTAGCATCTGGTTTGCGACAGTCCGAATTTGAGTTGTAAATAGAGACCGTGTGTTAGTGAAACTCACAGCTGATCTGAACTCATGCGTGTCACGTGTTCACATGTTCAAACTTCAAACACGTGTTTATGTTCATGTTCTGTTCTGTGCATTTCAGGACTGTTTTGAAGATGCTTTCGATCGCATTCCAGTGTGAGTATCTGATCAGTGTGAATGAAACACATGAGGGGTTGCATCATCTCTTCTCAGGTGTTCTGGATCCAGACTGAAGCTTGTGTGAATCCTAGTTACCACGGGATGTTAATCCCAGCAGAAACAGAGAAACAAATAGAGACATAATTAGCGTAGCTGCTGTTCCAACCAAGCAAAATTGATTTGTTTAACCCAAACTAACGAATAATAATGTGCATTTGATCAGATATAACTGCAGTAAAAGATTATGAGGTGCATTATTTGAATGCTTGGCCAAAGAGATGCGTCTTTAATCTAGATTTAAACAGAGAGAGTGTGTCTGAAAATGTCTGCTAAATGTTAATGTCAAATTAATTCAGTTTAATTGTTAGTAGTTTCAGTTCAGTTTTAGTTCATTTGGTCACATGTTTATTTTCTGTAACACTTTACAAAAAGATTAAATTTTTTAACGTTAGTTAACTGCAACAGTCGTTTTTTTATTAACTAACCTTAACAAAGACCAATAAATACTGAAGAAAGTGTATTGCTCATGGTTAATTAATGTGAGTTAATCCATTAACCAAAGTTAACTAGTAGGACCTTATTGTAAAGTGTTGCTCTATTTTCATATATTGGTAAACACTGTACAATGAGGTCTCATTTGTTAGCACTAGGTACATTTAGTTAAATAAGTTAATTAGCTAACGTGAACTGAGCAATGTATTTTCACCAGCGCTTATTCATTTTTGTTAATGTTAGTTAGTAAAAATACTATTGTTCATTTTAGTTCATATTAACAGATTTAAAAAATGTCATTAGCTTAAATTCTGTAAAAGTATTGTTTATTACTGGTTTATGGCAACTAGTGTAGTTAACTTTATTGATTTTGACCTTTTATGGGCGTTTTTACCTTTATAAAGCCATTTTTCTAAAAGTGTGCATCATCTTTTGAGTCAAATTTAATCACATTTAATCAGTGAATTGGAATAATAAGACATTTGGACTTTTACCAAGCAAATTAAATCAGTATTAATAAAATTCATCTTTGCAATGCAGAGGAAACACAGAAGCTGTGTCTGAAGTGGCGTTTAGATGTGTTTACACACAAGACATGAATGCATTTAACATTCAATTGCAAATGCATAAATAAAGTTTTGATATATTAAACATAAAACGTTGAATACTGAAAATTTAAATATTTGTAAACTTTAAATGTGATATTAAAACCGCCAGTAGGTGGCAGCAAGTCACTGTTAATAAGTGAGCCATTGCGATTGAACTATATATTAACTATATGAAATAATATAAATATATACATTTTCTGTCGTCGTAACTTGAATTTTGTGATCATTCTAAATGCATTTGTTACATTGAATCATGCAGTGAAAGAACACACTCTAAATGCACACGCACTCTAGTCTAGACTTCAGGTAATGTGTCGTGCACTCTGTAGGGGTGTTTTGAAAGGTTTATACAAAATACTCGATAATGTCATATCGCACATCGTTAAAACAACAATTACGATATTATCGCAGACAATATATATCATATACAAAGACACAATCTCGTTCATCACCGTTTTCTGTATTTCAGGATGAAAACATGATCAGTTTTATTAAAGGAGGAATCAAAATACGCACAAGTTATCAAATCTACAAGTGAGTCTGAAATCAAGAATTCCCTCCTGTTGCCTGTATCAAAAATATTATATAATCTGTTATCTTTAAAAAATATTGTGTTTGTAATGTTATTGCATAAAAGCAACAATTCAAAAATATATACATTTAATAAAAATCAGTTCAGTACAAAGAGACACAATATAGATTAGAACATGCAATGTAATATCCACCCCCAATATTAATTTTAATTTATATCCACATGCAGAGAATTAGTATTAGTAATGATTTATTATATTATTTATATTAATAATAATGATTATATTGCACATATATGTACTAGGGGTGGGAGAAAAAAATCGATTCACCTAACTATTGCAATTCTTTTAAAAACTCAGAATCGATTTATATTAAATTATTTAACTTTTCCTAAGAGGTGGTCGGGAGAAGTTGGCGCTTTTATTCCAACAGAGGGCGAAATGTATAGGTGTGTTCGACTTGAAGCAGCCGCGAGAGCGATTCGAAAGCATGCGAAGCCATCTGCTCTCTGTAGCTCTCGCGGTGCTTTGTCATACAACGAGCGGTCTGCATCAGTGCTGCTGAATTAGATGACGTCGTATTCGTTTCAAGCCGGCGCGAGAAAGCAAAACCATGACAGAGGCAGAGGATCAAACCTCTTTGAGAATTCTTTCTGCACCTTCATAAATAGAACGGGGATTTGTCGTGTCGTGCCACATCCAGTGTAGCATCACTGATTATAATGAGTTTTATAGTATTTTGTCGCGCCGCGTCTTGTAGACAGGGTGTATTTAACTTTCTTATTTAGGCTACTTTCTTGTTTAACTGTATTATTCCTTTGATATTATTTTAGTGTTTTGCAGGCTGCGTATTCACTGACTGAAGTGCTAAAATAAACACGAGCTGACGAGTTAAATCGGGTGTGTTAGATGAGTGAGACAGTGCTGGGCTGCTCCTGGAAAACCATTTCAGAGACATGTTCTTAAATGTGACTCATATAAAATATATTACATGCATGCACAGTTTTAAGGCAGCTTTAATCGCCTTTTTGGTAACTTCATGACTTAACTGACCACGGTATTGCATGCACGTAGTTTATTATAAAATCTGCCACCGTCACAGCCCTAGTGGCTCGCCAATATACTAGATTTCTCTAATGCATAAAATAAGTAAGCTTGACCAAAGTTCTTGGGGGGAGAATAATTTATTGAAGGTAGCAGTGTATCAGTTCTTCAGCAGTGATGTTAGCATATCTTCCTTCAAACAATCTTAATCTTGCTGTCTGTGAGACCAGACCTTTATACCTGGTAACAAATGTGCTACAAACAATACAATAACACCCCATGAAGAGCCACTGATAGTGTAACCTCATGATGACCTGATAGGACCTCTCCCATGGAGAGCCCATGATGCATTGACCTAATGGGCTAAAACATGGGCCATTTGGGCCACACTTTTGTAAACAGTTTCAGTTGATTGCATCTGAGGCCCAGTCACAATGTAAACGCATCTGACTAAAGATACACATAATCTTTCAATCCCCCCTTTGATCATTTTTTATCACAAAACATACTTTTCAATAATCATGAATACAGAGTGCTGCATACAGGCTCCTTTACTTAAGATGACAGAATAAGAGTTTATGGTGAGGTTTGCATTATCTTGAATGCCTAAGTCCTTTTTTATTTTAATGTTGCGATCTTGTGGAAGTGGCGGATGTCCTTGTGTTCTGTGGATGTTCAGGCATGTTCATCTAGGTGGCCAGTGCAGTTTGGTCCAAGCGTTGGATGTCTTTGCTCATCCTCTGGAACACCTGCAATCACACACAAGAGAAAAAGGAAACGTATCTTTCCAAAGAAAAGATTTTAAACAAAATATGCCTAATTACCAGTAAAACTGTCCCTATTTAATGTTGGCAGGACACGAAATGTTCATGTCTTCGTCCTCAGGCGACAAGCTAGAGCCTAAAAACCCTAGTCCCGCCATATCTGGACTCTGAAAAACACTACTGCCATCTATCCCTCATCTCTAGGCAAATTCACATCAATCCACTCATTGTTTCCCTGCGCCTTAACTGCTGCATCAGGTACTAAAAGATCCTCTAAAATTGGTCTTTCCCACCTGTATTCTTGTTGTGACACATGAGTTTTTTTTTTTTATCTTTACCCATTTGTTGGGCACTATACCATGGCCCCCCTTTGGAGTCTTGTCAGATGCTAGATTTTCATTGGACATGGGCCGGCCTGTGACATGTTCAAAAGGGAATAGTCCATTTTCCTTGTGGTTTTCCTTAATGCATTGGTTGTCATCATGCCGTTATTTTCCATCTTCCATTAGCATGAACATAAACAATCTGTTCACTATGCAAACCTGTTTGTGATTCTTGCTGAAGTTGTCTTAATGCCGCTGTATGTTCACCTCTCTCCTTTACGGCTTGTTTAGCAGCACTGCCTACTAGGACATCATCTTTGGCTTCAGTTGTTGAGGTTTCGGTGTATGCTTTTGCCTTCTGTATGGTGTCTTCACTTGTCTTGCTTGCATACACATGGAGTCCATCAGCTTTTGGATGAGATGTCGCTAGCTGGTGCTGCAGAGAAAGGTTCTTCAGTTTCCCTGCGGCTCCACAGCATTTAGCAGAGTCTGTTTTTGTTTGGCTGTCAACTGCTGAAACCTCTTCAACAGGTTGTCCTCATCATCACTTTGATGTCTCAAACTCGAACCCAGTGTCCTTCCTCGTTGCAATGTCTGCATCCTCCCTGATTTTTCTCTTTTGAGTGTCTCTGATATTCACTTTTTTTCATACCCCATTGTCCTGTTGTTGTACGACAAGGTTTGGATTGCAAAGCTCTGAGACTGGCTTCCTGTGTTCTTTCAATCTTTGCTGACCATTCAATAATCTGCATAAACGTTGTCCCAGTGCTGTCCCAGTCATCATACCTGACCTAGAGTTTTAGAAATCTCAGATTTCAGTCCATTCACAAATGGGCTTTTAAGAGGCATGCTAGTGTCTTTACAGAGTTCTTCAATGTTGTTGTTCAAACCAGCGTGTTCCATCCAAGTTTGTCTGAAGCGTTCTTCAAGCTCTGCAACACTTTCTCCTGTCTTCTGCACGCAAGAGGTAGTTTTAGCCCAATTAACCTCTGCAGGTTTCAGTTCAAATAAGAAGGTTTGTACAGCTTCCCATCCAGCCTCAATGTTTTCTTGCGACTCACCAATCCTTCTTTCAACACTTTCAGTTAGTCCTTTTTGGTCATTGTCTCTTAAGTTCACATTAACAATCATCACACTGTCCAGTGAATGTAAATTGTAGATTTTCTGCAAGCGTTGAAGAAATTGCCAAACTTTCCGTGGTTGCTTGTACACATCTGGCAATTCTTTTGACCATTTGTCAACTTGCTCTGTAGTAGCTCGCTGGTATGTTCTGTATGGAACATATTTCTTTACCACCTTTTTTACTGTGCGAGTTTGTCATTCACCATCTTCCTCATACTCCTCTTCACTGTCAGTTTCAACTTCAGTCCTTCTGTTCTTAACAATTACAGGAGCACGTCTAACAAATGTGCTACAAACAATACAATAACACCCCATGAAGAGCCACTGATAGTGTAACCTCATGATGACCTGAATAGGACCTCGCCCATGATGCATTGACCTAATGGGCTAAAACATGGGCCATTTGGGCCACACTTTTGTAAACAGTTTCAGTTGGTTGCATCTGAGGCCCAGTCACAATGTAAACGCATCTGACTAAAGATACACATAATCTTTCAAAGGTATCTTAAAGTATGCACTGTGTATGTGTATGCTCCTGCAATAAAAGTTCAGAAAGATGTGATGCATTGTTTTTGTTAATATGACTCATTTACAGTCTCTTTAAGGGTGTGATCAAGTATCTTCCATTGTCTAGTCTTTAATAAGCAAACAAAATCACAGTAACTTGTAATATGGAATCACAATACTCAATTATCGCAATATATATTGAATCGGCACACAAGTATCGGGATAGTATTGAATCGGCAGATTAGCGTATCGTCCCAGCCCTAATATGTACGTAGGCAATATTTGCTTATTATTTATATTTATTTATTCTTTTTTAATAAAAGTATATATATATGTATATGTACAATTAGTTTCTGTTTTGTTTTTAGGGACTGCCAGAGTTCGTTGAACATGTCTCAGGGAGTGGGCGGAGACAGCGAGGCCTTCAGACAGTTTGAGGGCGGAGTCAAGCTGGGGATTGGCTCCTTCAACCTGGTCAGTCAGTGAGACAGGAAGTGTGCGATTAACCCTAGAGTCATCGTTAATAATAACTGTTACCAACTTCACTGTTGACTGTGTTTACATCAGCGGATGAAGCTGTAAGTGTTTAGTTGCTGTTTTGTGTCCCGTGTGTCAGATGCTGTCTTTACTACCTGCACGAATCCTTCGACTGCTGGAGTTTATCGGCTTCTCAGGGAACAGAGTGAGCGACACACTCTTCAGATCACACACATACACACACTCCCTCTCTCTCTCACACACTCACACACACACACACACTCTCTCACACACACACTCTCTCTCTCTCACACACACACTCTCTCTCTCTCACACACACACTCTCTCTCTCTCACACACACACTCTCTCTCTCTCACACACACACTCTCTCTCTCTCACACACACACTCTCTCTCTCTCACACACACACTCTCTCTCTCTCACACACACACTCTCTCTCTCTCACACACACACTCTCTCTCTCTCACACACACACTCTCTCTCTCTCACACACACACTCTCTCTCTCTCACACACACACTCTCTCTCTCTCACACACACACTCTCTCTCTCTCACACACACACTCTCTCTCTCTCACACACACACTCTCTCTCTCTCACACACACACTCTCTCTCTCTCACACACACACTCTCTCTCTCTCACACACACACTCTCTCTCTCTCACACACACACTCTCTCTCTCTCACACACACACTCTCTCTCTCTCACACACACACTCTCTCTCTCTCACACACACACTCTCTCTCTCTCACACACACACTCTCTCTCTCTCACACACACACTCTCTCTCTCTCACACACACACTCTCTCTCTCTCACACACACACTCTCTCTCTCTCACACACACACTCTCTCTCTCTCACACACACACTCTCTCTCTCTCACACACACACTCTCTCTCTCACACACACTCACACAAACACACACTCTCTCACACACACTCCCTCTCTCTCTCTCACACACACACACTCTCTCTCTCTCTCTCACACACACATATACACACACACTCTCTCTCTAGTGTTTAGTTGCTGTTTTGTGTCCCGTGTGTCAGATGCTGTCTTTACTACCTGCACGAATCCTTCGACTGCTGGAGTTTATCGGCTTCTCAGGGAACAGAGTGAGCGACACACTCTTCAGATCACACACATACACACACTCCCTCTCTCTCTCACACACACATATACACACACACTCTCTCTCTCACACACACTCACTCACTCACTCACTCACACACACACTCTCTCACACACACACACTCACTCACAGTAACGGCTGTTGGTGTCCTGCAGGACTTCGGTTTGTCGCAGCTGCGGGAAGGCGCCGGCAGTCACAGTCTCAGATCCGTCCTGTGTGTGCTGACGCTGCTCTTCTACCACACTTACGTCAGTCTGATTCTGGGTAAGCATGCTGGAAACATACAACACACCTTTAATAACCCGCACAGACATCATACACGTCCTGACTCAGGAAACGGTTACAGGAAAACAGGGTATCATACTGTAGTCGACTGAGTAGGGCTGAGCGATTTGGGGGGAAAATTGAATCGCAATTTATCTTTAAAACTTGACTGTGATTTAAATAGTTTGTCCTTATACTCTGTGTTTTTAAGGCACTGGTGAAGGGAATCTGGTGGAGGCCGAGGCTTTATTAGAGCCCTACATAGAGCGATTTCCACGGGTGAGAACCTGAAAACACACACACTCTCACTCACTCACTCACACACACACACAAACACACTCGCTCTCACTCACTCACACACACACACACACACACACACACACACACACACACTCGCTCACACTCACTCACTCTATCACTCACTCACTCACTCACTCTATCTCACACACACACTCACTCTATCACTCACTCACATACACACACACACACTCGCTCACACTCACTCACTCTATCACTCACTCACTCACTCTATCACTCACTCACACACACACACACACTCACTCACTCACTCACTCTCTCACTCACTCACACTCACTCACTCACACACACACACTCTCTCTCACTCACTCACTCTCTCACTCACTCACACTCACTCACTCACACACACACACTCTCTCTCACTCACTCACTCTCTCACTCACTCACACTCACTCACTCACACACACACACTCTCTCTCACTCACTCACTCTCTCACTCACTCACACTCACTCACTCACACACACACACTCTCTCTCACTCACTCACTCTCTCACTCACTCACACTCACTCACTCACACACACACACTCTCTCTCACTCACTCACTCTCTCACTCACTCACACTCACTCACTCACACACACACACTCTCTCTCACTCACTCACTCTCTCACTCACTCACACTCACTCACTCACACACACACACTCTCTCTCACTCACTCACTCTCTCACTCACTCACACTCACTCACTCACACACACACACACTCACTCACTCACACTCACTCACTCACACAGACACACTCACTCACTCACTCACTCTCTCTCACACACACACACACACAGATGTTATTTTTTACTCCACTCATATTTACACACACTAATATGCTGTTAGTTTGTTGTTTAGCATAATGTTTCCATGATGAAAGATGATCATGACTCCTTAAATATGAATCTTCAGTAGCGTTACTCAATGAAATGTCAATGTTTTTTCCCCAGGGCTCAATTATCCTGTTTTACTCGGCTCGCATCGCCTTACTGAGGGGAAACTTTGAGAAGGTGAGGCATTTATGATGACTTCACACTTTTGCACTATCAGTATTTATAAAGAAAAGAGTCTCTTCTGCTCAGCAAGGCTGCCTTTATTTCATCAACAATACAGTAAAAATAGTGAAATATTAATACAATGTAAAACAGCTGTTTTCTATGTGAATCTCTGTTAAACTGTAATGTATTTCTGTGATGCGCAGCTGTATTTTCAGCATCATTACTGCAGTCTTCAGTGTCACATGAAATCAGAAATCAGTATAATATGTGTGTGTGTGTCAGGCGCTGGTGAAGTTCCAGGAGTGTATCTCGGCGCAGCAGCAGTGGCGTCAGATCCATCATCTGTGTTATTGGGAGCTGATGTGGTGTCACTCGTTCCAGCAGCAGTGGAGAGACGCGTATCGATACGCAGACCTGCTGTGCCGAGAGAGCCGCTGGTCTAAAGTAACACACACAAAAATCACACCTCATATTCACTAATATCATTGATTGAACTGCACTGCCTCTATCAGTTAAAAACAGCGCTGAACTGATCTGAATAATGACTCTGAGTTTGATTCATAACTAATGAATTTCATAACATTAATACTATTATTTTCCTGTTTATTAATGTGAAGCTGCTTGAAGCGATCTGTATTGTATAAAGTAAGGTGACTAGATCTGGGTTTTGAACACACTTTTAAAGTCACAGCTTACCTTTACCACGTTTGGTAAAAATACAAAAGAGATGCATAAATAAAAATAATCTACTAAACAATTACACTTGTAGAAAGCACGTGCTTTGTCTCAAAATGAGCCTAGAATTATGGATAGTAAAGATCCAAAAGCAGAAACATACAATAACAAAAAAAATTACTGTATACAGTATATTCATAGTTTGTGAAAATAAAATAAATACATTTAGAATTTTTTATATTTTTAGTTTTATTATATTTGTTTTGTTTTATTGTTATTATGTGTTTTTGAAAAGTATAATATAATATGTTATATTATACTTATAATAATATATATAATAGTAATCATTTTTCATAGTGTGATTTTTGCTTTATTAAAACGTAATAATAATTATTTATTATAATAAACGCACAACAGTTAAAAAAACAAAAACATACAAAATGTATGGTCCCCTATTTATTAAATGTATTAATAATAACAAGTGAGATTTCAAAGATATTTTGACATTTAATCAGGGTTGTTACAGGTAACTAAAACTGAAACAAAACTGAAACTTTTGAAAAAAAATAAACATTGTCTGAAATAAAATAAAATATAAAAAACTATAACTATAGTATGAAATAAATATATAAAAACTATAAAAGTATAAAATAAATTTGTTACTTGAAAAAAATAAACATTAACTTAAATAAAATAAAACAAACTATATAGTATAAAATAAGTAAATATACAAAAACTATGAAACTATAAAAGTATTAATTAAATATATATAAAGGCAAAATTTCTCTTTTTATTGATTTGAACTTAAAATAGCTGAAACTGAAATAAAAAATTATAAAAATTATATAAACAAAAACACAACAAAATTACTTAAACTTTCAAATTAAAATGTAAATGTAAAATATAAACTGATAACAAAATATTAATAAAATAGTATCTCAATTATAGTAAAATAGCACTCTGCTCGCTTTAGTGTAAAGCACTGTAGGAATAAATGCTGATCAGTGTTTGCTGGCGTCGCAGGCCATCTACGTCTATCAGAAAGCTGCCATCCTGAGCATGATGTCTGAGGAGGAGCTGAAGACGAGCGGAGAGGACGTGGTGGAGCTGTTCAGGTGAGTCTGGCTCTGATCTCAGGTCAGTTCCTGCGTTTGCTGAGGCTGACTTTCTGCCGTGTGTGTCGTAGGCAGGTGGAGGGACTGAAGCAGCGATTGGCCGGGAAATCCATCCCGATGGAGAAGTTTGCCATCAGGAAATCCCGCAGATACTCATCAGCCGTGCCCGTTAAACTGGTGATTCCTGCGCTGGTGCGTCTCTCTCACACACACTCTCTCACACAGACACACACACACACACTCTCACACAGACACACTCTCACACAGACACACACTCACACACACACTCTCACACACACACACTCACAGACACACACACACACTCTCACACAGACACACTCTCACACAGACACACACTCACACACACACTCTCACACACACACACTCACAGACACACACACACACTCTCACACAGACACACTCTCACACAGACACACACTCACACACACACTCTCACACACACACACTCACAGACACACACACACACTCTCACACAGACACACTCTCACACAGACACACACTCACACACACACTCTCACACACACACACTCACAGACACACACACACACTCTCACACAGACACACTCTCACACAGACACACACTCACACACACACTCTCACACACACACACTCACAGACACACACACACACTCTCACACAGACACACTCTCACACAGACACACACTCACACACACACTCTCACACACACACACTCACAGACACACACACACACTCTCACACAGACACACTCTCACACAGACACACACTCACACACACACTCTCACACACACACACTCACAGACACACACACACACTCTCACACAGACACACTCTCACACAGACACACACTCACACACACACTCTCACACACACACACTCACAGACACACACACACACTCTCACACAGACACACTCTCACACAGACACACACTCACACACACACTCTCACACACACACACTCACAGACACACACACACACTCTCACACAGACACACTCTCACACAGACACACACTCACACACACACTCGCACACACACACACACAAACTCTCACACAGACACACACACACTCTCACACACTCACACACACACACTCGCGCGCACACACACACACTCGTGCACACACACACACACACACACACACTCACAGACACACACTCACACACTCTCACAAACACTCACACACGCACAGACACACTCTCACACACACACACACACACACACACCAAAAACACGTGTAAATGAAGAGAGGAGGAAGTGATGCATCTGTGGTTCTTCCTCACACAGGAAATGATGTATGTGTGGAACGGCTTCACTATAGTTGGGAAACGTGCGGATGCCACTGAGAGCTTACTGATCACCATCGAGAGAGCAGAGGAGCAGCTACGCAACGATCCCAGTGAGACACACACACACACACACAGCGCAAAGATCTAATCTGACATGTTTTGCAACTTTCTCTTTAGTAAGAACTGTTTTACTGCGTTTGACCAAATTTTTATAATAATAATAATTACTATTATTATTACTAAATAAAATATTAAACAAACTAAGAATTACAACTAATATAATATTTCACTGTAAAATAAAACAATTCTATTAAAGAAAAATTATATCATGGCATAATATGATAAAAGTATAAAAGTAAAATTACAATACTAATATTTGTGGCTTTAGTATTGTCTTAATTCCTCATTTTCAAACATTAAAGCATTAAGCTTTTATTTTGGTAGAAAACTATAGGGAGCTGGATTAATAAATATATTAAATCATGTTTTAATTCATTTAAAAAATGCAAAAAGGTTTCTGAGGGGTTGCGTTATGGGATTCGTCATCAACTCTAGAAGTCCATGCAAAGTCTCCACTGAGATACAAAAACAAACGTGTGTGTGTGTGTGTGTGTGTGTGTGTTTCAGACCCCTCTGAGTTCCATCCTGATGATCAGTGTCTGGTTCAGATGTTGAAGGGTTTGTGTTTGAAGCATCTGGGCCGATTACTGCAGGCTGAGCTCTGCTTCACACAGGTGCTGAGCAGGTAAACATTTGTTTTTAAGTTACGGTAAAGTGACTGTAAGTCACTCGAGTGACTTGTTGCCGTGATGTGGATCAGCTGTAGGTTCGATGATGACTTGGTGTGTTCACAGTGAGAAGCACATCCGTTACGATCACTATCTGATCCCCTTCACCCTCTATGAGCTGGGTTTACTCTACAAGCAGCAGGGCGATTACATCAAAGCCACGCGCTTCATCGAGGAGGCCAAGTGAGTGCGCTTTCATACGTGTACATGTCCCTTCTGAAATAAATGAGAACTTAAAGCTTTCATAGTGATATCTCTTAAATAACACACTTCCTTAAGTCTGTGGTGCTGCACACAATATATGCGCTGTTGCAATTGAATGAAGTGAAATATAAAAGGAGTTTACTGGAGTTGCTGCCCTATGAAATCCAAGCTTTGAGCAGTTTTTTAAAATTGGTCTTTGAACTTGGCATATGTGAAAATATTTGCTCAAAATTGGGATTTTGTTACAGCAGTAACTCTAGTGTTAATTTGTTATGTCTGTTTTAATGCATCCTCTGTAACGGCTGAGAAATAGTGCAGCAGATTGGGCTGATGGTGCAATACGGCTCAGTGTGCATTGTCCCACGTGCCATGTTTAAGGGTTCATAAAAAAAGATTGGTGCAGCAAAAAGTGCTCAAAATTTGGATTTTGTTAGAGCAGTAACTCTAGTATAAAGGCATTATGTCTTCTTAAATGCCTCCTTTCAAGCGGCTGAGAAACAGAACCACGAATCGGGCTGATGGCGCAATATGGCTCAGTGTGCATTGTCCCACATGCCAAGTTCAAGGGTCCAAAAAAATAACTGGTATTGGAAAAAAGTGCTCAAAATTTGGATCTCATTCGTGCAGTAACTCTAATATCAAGTCTTTATGTCATCTTTAACGCATCCTCTGAAGTGGCTGAGAAATAGTGTCACAAAATGGGATGATGGTGCAATATGACACGGTGTGCATTGTCCCACATGCCAAGTTCAAGGATCCATAAGAAATAATTGGTGCAGCAAAAAGTGCTCACAATTTGGATTTCATTTGTGCAGTAAGTTTAATATCAAGGTCTTATGTAATCTCCAGCACATTCTCTGTGGCAGGCGAGAAACGGAGGCACGAAATGGGCAGATGGCACAATATGGCACGGTGTGCATTGTCCCACATGCCAAGTTCAAGGGCCAAAAGAAATGATATAGTAAAATGTGTTCAAAATTTGTATTTCACTAGATGATTGCATTCCTTATTAAACCACTTCGTCTGATTTAACACATAATTACAGTTGGTGGAGAAATGAATTTCATCATTCAATTTTAACAGTGCTTATTGCGAGAATCAGACCGTCATTTAAAGAAGAGGTTCATTTTTGGTCATATTGACCACCTCTGAGTAGTTTAAACAGGCAGCTGCTCGAAAATCAACACCATAATTTAAGCAATACTTGATGAATCTGTATTTGTGTGTTTGTAGGTTGAATTATAAGGACTATTCAATGGAGTCTCGTCTTCATTTCCGCATCCACGCGGCTCTCAGCAGTCTGAAGGGTTCTCCGACAAACTCGCCGTGATGACAGACGATCAGCGCTGACGCGGAAGAACACGACAAGCACATCACGACGGTCACTGAAGCACCAAAGCAGCGCGGCGTAGCGATCTGTAGAGAAACACATTCACTGACCATTTCAAACCAAAGTCGCCGTTCAGTCATCAGTAACTAGCGGACATGTACCTCAAACCTGACGATTTGAACACTTATTTATCCATGTAGTTTAAATACAGAGTCTTACGTTTGTAAGCAAGTCGCTGACGTCCAATCAGAAAACAGCTGCTGTAATGAATGTAACGTTTTATTTTAAAGACCAAATATGTTTGTCTGCTTGTGTGTGTTACATTGTGTGCCTGTTGTGTGTGTGTGTGTGTGTTGGAGTGTGTGTGTGTGTGTGTGTGTGTGTGTGCGTGCGTGCGTGCGTGCGTGCGTGCGTGCGTGCGTGTGTGTGTGTTTCTGCACAGCCTGTAGACATCGAGTGTCTTAGAGATTGATTACAAGTTTACAAGTTTAGACGCTCCAAGCAATTCACGAAATTCATATTCATTTGAAAGCAATAATAATCAGCCAACAATCATGCTGAGAGGAATCTTTTAGTTTTTTTCTAGAAAGGGGTTTTGTGTGTGTGTGTGTGTGTGTTTGGGTGTGTGTGTGTGTGTGTGTGTGTGTGTGTGTGTGTGTGCGTGTGTTCGAGTGTGCGTGTGTGCGTGCGTGTGTGTGTGTGTGTGTTTTTGCACAGCCTGTAGACATCGAGTGTCTTAGAGATTATTATGCTGATTACAAGTTTAGACGCTCCAAGCAATTCACGAAATTCATATTCATTTGAAAGCAATAATAATCAGCCAACAATCATGCTGAGAGGAATCTTTTAGTTTTTTTCTAGAAAGGGGTTGTTTTGTTCACCTTAAGTATCAAAGTTTTATTTTTAATGTTTTAAATGTAGCGGGTGGGATTGTTTTTTTTTTGTGTGCATGTTCTTGTTTTAATGTTTAATACCAGATATGTTGTACAATAATCAAATACAGTTGATCCTATTTTACAAGCATAATTTTTTCTGTAATTCTGAAGTACACTGAAAAAATTATATTCTTCCACATTTTTGTCTTTATATATATATATATATATATATATATATATATTAAGGCTGGTAAGCGATTAAAACTTTTAATCTAATTAATTACATGACGTGGCGATTTATTCATCTAATTAAGCACACATCAAATCTGGCTGAGAAATGACTCCCAAAAGATCATTTAAAGTCATGGTTGTGTAAAGCATCAAACAGACTTTACAAAAAGTAGCTTCAGCAAGAAATATTTTGTTTGATTCAACATAAAATGTATTACATACTCTTTTGGACCATGAGGGTGAGTAAACGATGACACAATTTTCATTTTTGGGTGGGTGAACTTTTCTTTTAATAATGTAGTATTATTATTATTACTATGGAAATATGAAATTATTTCTCTAATGAAATGATACTCTAAATAATAAACTAAAACTGCCAGTAGGTGGTGGTAAATGTCTTAATGATTAAGTCATCGAGTCATTCATTCATTTGATTCGTTCAGATGGGTCACGCTCACTCATAAGGTTTATTTATTTGTGTGTTTGCTTGTAAATTAATTTTTGTGAAATGGTGTTTTGTGCTACCATCTATGCAAAGTCGGGGCAATAAAGTAACATCATAGTTAACAATTACTTTACATAGGATATAATGTATTTTATATTATTTAGGCACTTATGGGCTATAGTATGACAGAATGTTCCAATTCAGCATGCCATGGGAAGTCAATCTAACTTAACATTTTCTGATATTGATTATTTCTAACTCCTTAACAGTTCATCAGGCTCTTAATGATTTAATCTATGCCATCTTTTGGAATATCTGAAGGCCATGTACCATAGTTAAGTAATAAGACTAGCCTATTAATCATTATTAATCAATATAGCACGAAGAAACAACCGCCTGCACATTTAGAACCAATAGCTTCAACATGCCACAGCTGTCATATAAATCTATAGGGAAACATCTATTCTCTGAACAGATTATCTCATATAAATTGTACAGCAAGTAATACTAAATTTTACGCAATAAATAAGCCTACAATAAAACATGATACATTGATTTTAATATATGTTAGTGTTGGTTCAAGACGCTTTTCATCAGTCTTTTTAGTTTATTTTCCTTTTTTAGACACTTGTTTGACTTTCTCCATAGCATTTTAAAGTGTCTGCTTCTCTAAATAATTCAAGTAGATCACGTGATATTTGACAATCACAATTGAGTGATTTTACACTTAAAACAAGAACAAATATTTGCAAGTGTTTTCCCTTTACATTGAAGTTTTTTTTGTTTTGTTTTCTGACCCCATTGGCAGATATTTATCTTGTTTTAATCATAAAGTCACAAAAAAACAACAACATAATACTTTAATTTTTTATCTCCAGTAAATTTATTTTTATTCATGTCTAATATAATTCAAGTAGATCACGTGATATTTGACAATCACAATTGAGTGATTTTACACTTAAAACAAGAACAAATATTTGCAAGTGTTTTCCCTTTACATTGAAGTTTTTTGTTTTGTTTTCTGACCCCATTGGCAGATATTTATCTTGTTTTAATCATAAAGTCACAAAAAAACAACAACATAATACTTTAATTTTTTATCTCCAGTAAATTTATTTTTATTCATGTCTAATTTTGTACATATATATATATATATGTTTATTTTTCTGACCCCATTAGCAAATATTAATTCTTGTTTTAAGTGTAAAGTCACTAAATTTTGATCACTTCTTCACACAGGGCCATGTAGTTTTGGATTTTGCTTTCCCTTAACAATAAAAACCGCATTTAAAAACTGCATGTTGTGTTTACTTGTTATCTTTGACTAAAATTTAAATTTGTTTGATGATCTGAAACATTAAAGTGTGACAAACATGCAAAAAAATAAGAAATCAGGAAGGGGGCCAACACTTTTTCACACCACTGTATATATATATATATATTTATACTGGAAAACAAGACAAAAATACTGAAAAAACAACATTATGCATTATGTATATAATGTTAGCAGGTTTTTGATTTACTACAAATGAAAATGTTCACATTTCTTTAAGCTTGTTGCCTGATTATGTTAAATGATTTGTGCTTATGAATATGAATTCTCATTAAACAAGCTCTTGTCAAGTGGGCAATGAAAAACACATCTTAAAACACTTGCTTTAAACTGCACAAGACTTGTTTTCAGAGAATAAATCTTCAGTCAACACATTATAACAGACAGACACTAGGTGCCTTTCATCTATAATATAGAAACGTGCATGAAGTTAATGGCAAAGTTTCCGTGTTCCTTCTAAATTCTGAACCTCTCTATATAATTATAGCTGTACATTCAGTGTTTCACGCCTGGTTATTACTGTTACACCATCAGGCACTGATAGATAGTGTTAGTGGGTCTGTGAGGGTTCAGAAGTGCTGGAACGCTGGGATTTGTTGCTCGGGGGGTTTATTTACACATGGGTCACCATACTTGACCACACACCACTTATTTGCTCTTTCCAGCTGTGTTTGGTCTGGTCAGTGTTTTTCCACTCATCTGTTCAGAAGTACTTCAGTTTTCACTCCTTCTTGAATGTTTTATTTCATGTCTGAAGTGTTCAGTGTCTTGATATCAATTGTATGTCTGGCAGGTTTACATCTGAAATAAAGCTTTAGTTGATATGTAATTGTGAGGAAGTATGTATGGAAGACCTGAACCACAACAGATTTTCTTAAAATGTTCAAAAACAAAACTTTCTTCAAAACCTTTTCTGTTCGGAAACCTTTTTTTCTCTCATCAAAAACTTTTTTCTCTTCAAAAAACGTTCTCAGAAATCTTTTTCCCTTCAAAAAACTAAAAAACATTTTCCTCTCTTAAAAAAAAAAAACTCATCAAAAACTTTTTTAGTCTTCAAAAAAAAAGTTATCTTCAAAATTCCCTTTTTTTTTTTTTTTTACAGAAGATAAATGTTTTTGGGGAAAGAAAAAAAATTAGAGCGAGAAAACATTTTTAAAAGTGTTTTGAGAAAATCTAAAAGAGAAAAAGGTTTTTGAAGCCAAAAAAAATTAAAATAAAATAAATAGAAAGAGAAAAAAATATTAGGACTGTGTGTGTGTCTGTCTGTCTGTGTGTGTGTGTGTGTGTGTCTGTGTCTGTGTCTGTGTCTGTGTCTGTCCGTCCGTGTGTGTGTGTGTGTCTGTGTCTGTCTGTGTGTGTGTGCGCACGTTTTTGTGACAAATGAGGACATAAATGTGTATAATGACAAAGGTATGACAGGTATTACAAGGAGAAGGTGACTTTTCAGGACATTACCCCATGTCCCCACTTTTCAAAACGCTTATAAATCACACAGAATGGAGTGTATTGAAAATCTGAAATAGCACAAAGTTTCCTTTTCACAAAAACAAACCTGCGTGTGTCTGTGTATGTGTGTGTCTGTGTGTGTGTGTGTGTGTCTGTCTGTTTGTGTCTGTCTGTGTGTGTGTGTGTGTGTGTGTGTGTGTGTGTGTGTGTGTGTGTGTGTGTGTGTGTGTGTGTGTGTGTGTGTGTGTGTGTGTGTGTGTGTGTGTGCGCGCTTGTGTGTGTGTGTGTGTGTGTATATATATATATATATCATTTTCTGGTTCAAGGTTTCTTTAAGTAGGTCCTCAAAATGAGTAAACCTCATAATTATTATAACAGAATAATTATAAAATACACTTTAAAAAGTAAAAAAATAATGTTTCGGTTATGGTTTGCAAAATGTATTTAAATATTGCCTTTTTTATTTCCATCTTAGCTGTTGGAAACATTTAAAGGTATTAATTTAACATATATAATATTCATTATCTGAAGATGGCACAAGTGTATATCCATCGATTCTTAATTTTGGGTAAGTTGCCCAGTTTGATGATATTCCTGACTCTGCTTATGATCGGTGTACTGTATGTTTGCTGCAATCTCTTTGCTATCAGCTCAGTCCAGAAGTATAGGTTCAGTTTGAGACAGAGATTGACATGCAGGTTAATGATTAAACCAACTCAATGCATGTTTACTCAGTGTCCCGCTGAACCTCCAGCTTCTGATCAGTTCTGCTCCGGATGAGCGCAGCTCATATTTGAATGAATACATGCATTCAGTGCATCTGTCACGACGGTGGTTTGAATTGAGAAATCCTGCTGCGCTTCATGTGCAAATAACATCATTGTGCAATTCATCAGTGTTCCGCATTTAACATTTGCACACGACACATTCACACTAACAACTAATAAAGTAAATCCTGATAAATAAATAGGGAAATAATAAACTATCTGCATAGACTGATATCTGTACACATTAA